ACCTCTCCACCTCGCCGCTCCCCCGCAACATCCACACCGTGCATCATGCGGGACGAAGGGAGACCAGAGCCAAAGCCATTTACAAACGCTATGCCCACGAACCAACCACCGCATACACGAACCCGGCCTCATATCTCGGCATAAGAGCCACGGCAGCCGTCGTCGTCCAACAAAATCACCATGTCAGCAGCATCACATTACCAAGATACGAATCCTTACAAACGAAAGAGGCGGCCATTGCTCTTGCCATCGCGCAAACTACAGCCCAAGTCATCATTCCCGACTCGCAGCACGCGTGTCGTACTTTTCTAGAGAGGAAGAATCCACCGTACAACAGAACAGATAATCTCCCAACAATCGCCGGATGGACTCATCAAAATCATATGGACACCCGCCCACTTCCCTGTACCAGGCAATGCAACCGCCCACGCCTTGGCTCGAGAGTTATCCCGCCGGGCCCCGGGAGACGAGCAGGACCGGCCGGTCCCATTGGTAACATATCAAGTGGTCACGCAGCACTATAGGTTGGAGCGAAGTACCTACCCACCCCCACATAAACAACTTTTAAAAGAGCAGAAACGACCTCACCACTAAAGCAGGAACGACATCCCACTAAATGCCATACAGACTAACACCTTCCCCCATCCCACTAAATGCCATACCTTTTCCCCAACTTCTATTCCCCATTATTCCGCCTTTGCGGAGCTCCTGCGACGCTCTTTCGTATGGTAGGAGGATGCGATCAAAACCCCACCCAATCGTCTAACCTCTTTTTGTCTTTATACGAGCTTTGGGAGAGAGCACTGATCAGCACCAACCTGGATGACCGGCTCAAGCTTATGCTCGCGTCGAGGGCAGTGGAAGCAGGGAAAGCTCAAGGCGTCTTGAACTAAGGACTCCTCCCCATCGCTTTTTCATAATAAATATGTTTATTCTCTCTTTTTCTCCAAAGAACATTCGTGATGCGCGAAAGTTGGCAAAAGCCAAGACGACACACCGTTAGAAAATGGCGGCTCCCAGGATACCGGCCGGCATTACCGCGGCTTTCGCGGCATCCTCATGGCTGTGATCTTCAATGCGGACCTACACTGCACTCCCTTAGTACAAATAAATACGCTTAAAGTATACTTAGAATGGCCAAAAGTGTACTGTTAGTCAAGGAGCCTAAAGGAAGCATATTAACTGCACGAAAGGTGTACTTGTAGACAGTACTACAAGTATAATAGCGAATACAAAACTAGCACACTTACGGGGGCATACCTGACATGTGTTGAGACTGTACTATAAGTGTACTAAAATTATCTTGAACTATTGAAGTGTTCTTATTCTATACATTGGCAAGGTTTTTTTTTATTAACGTTAACCGTGTTATAATTTAATCTAATTTTTTTTTAACTGTGGGAAATATGTTCTAATAAACTCCGGTATGTTACTTGGCAATCATTAAAGGTAAGTGTCGCGACGATACAACACTATGATTCCTGTGTGTTGTTTTGTTTTGTTGTTCGGCAGGAAAAGGGATAGCCCGGTGAGGTGTGAAGCTTCACTAAATATATAGAAACCAATTAACTAATAAGGTGTTTGAACGCTAATTTGCCACATACAATTTCTGATCCAACGTAGATTGACAAGACAGTTTTAATATTTGCTTAAGGCATTTATTAATAGTGATGAAGTACTTGTAGAAGCAGGCCTCGAATTCGAGTTAATTAAACATATTGATTTTAAGTGCTGCCGCATGGGACATGTCTTCCCAGGGAGCAAACAGTGTAACGACAATATTGCCGCGCGCAGGGACGAGAAAGCACGACTCGGTCATGGACTTCTGGAAGCTTCTAATTTTTTCTTGCTCCAGGCGTAACTTCAATCATTTATTCCTGCTTCCTTGTTTTATAAATGGCGCTTTATTCTCGCATCGAGCGCATGACGCTCGAGCCTTCTTTGCCGAATCTTCAGCATAGTGACGAACTCTAGATAAGAGGCCGCCCTCGACCTTGCCGAGTAACTCTCGCTCCGGCGCTCGATCCTGCTGTTTCGACGACATCGACGCCTGCGACGCTAACTAACTTTTGTTTTGTTTTGGGCACAAGTTCGCCCCATTAAACGTTTAATTTATTCAGTTCTTCTTATTCTCATCGTTCGTCACTCGTGGCATTTTGGTGGAGGTGCCGGGTATCGCATTCTATGCCCGCGAAGCGTACCCCTTCGAAGACATCCCGGCCAAGTGAGGTGCTAAGCTCCGCGAGGTTTCCCTTCGCAGATGACACCGACACCCTAGCAAGCCGCCGTACCATGGGGTAACGCCCAAAATTCGAACCCCTGCCGCAGAAGCAGAAGATTCCTACGATGACCACCCCGCCCGTCGTCGTCCTGCCCGTCGCTCCACGCAAACCTACTCCCTTCCTCGACGAGATCTTCGAGGACGTCGAATACTGGATGAATGAGTACGAACCCGCGGCTCGCCACAACAGGTGGAGTGACGAACAGCGCCTGCAGAACCCCTAATTTTCATTTAAAGGAACTGCAAGGCGCTGGTTCGGAAACCACGAAGCTTTATTGATTTTAAGACAGCTTTGCAAGAGCAAGCTGACGGGTACTTTCGCCAGTCAACAACACGGAGAGACGGCCAAAGATATGCTGCAATCGTGGACCCACGGCCACAATGAGAGGGTCACAAGCTTTGAACAAGACTTCCTGCGCCTGAGCTCCCGGGCCGACCCTCAGGCCACCAGGGAAAAGAAGCTGCGTATTCTGATGCGTGGCACGAATGACGACATTTTCGGTGGAGTCGTACGCAACCCACCGACGACCGTTCGAGAATTCGTCGCAGAAGCTACGAACATCGAGCTCCCTTCTTTCCACAGCCAGCCGCTATGAGAAGCTATCCGGCGTTCGTGCGTTTCCGAAGTCCCCTTGCGACCTAGCCTATGGCATTCCGGGCATTCGTGCGCTTATTCGCGACGTCGTCCGGGAGAAGCTTCTGCCGACTGCTGACCGCCCGGCCTCATTCTCCATAGCCAAGGTTGTTTGAGACGAGGTTCAGCAAGCGTTCCTGCCAGATGCCCTCGTCACCATGGCCTCACACAAAGAGCCGACACTGACCTACGCCGCATGGCTCGACGACCACCGCCAGCTGCCCAACATTACCCGGTGGCGCTACAACGGAACTCAACGACGCAGGCGAACCGCCGACGTCTCGACGATCGACTCCATACGTCCGGCGAGAACAACAGGCGCCCAGGAAGATTGACGCGTGGCGAACGCCCGATCAACGCCTGTTGTGCTACCACTGCGGTGAAGCGGACCACATCTACCGACGATGCCCCTACCGCCAGCTGGGACTGCAAGGGTTTGCTCCCAACGACCTCGACCACGTCTTATGGTTAATTCGGGTGTTCACCTCTCTCCTCTTTCCTTGATTCAGCAGAGCGTCCCCTCATCGCCGCCAGAGCGACTCTGGATCCTTTTCAGCTGATCACAACTGCTCGCTTCAGAGCGCTCCGAGATTCTCAGACCAGTAATGGAACTAAAACTTTTTAATTTCAATAGTGCATGAGAAAAAAAAAAGATTTTACAGCGTACGGTGGACGGTTGAGGATTATTTACGCTCGCAAGGTGATGAAATAACGGTTGAGACGTAAATTGTTTTACGCATCGCCATGTAAAAAAAAAGAAAAAAAGTATGCGAATTGATTTTTTCCGTACAGAGCGAAAGCCAATGCTTGGGAAGAGCTGTCAACTCGTCGCGTTTTCGACAGTGAATGCGGTGCGATAGCGGTCATGCACACGGCAGAGCAAGCAAGTACAAGATGGTTAATAAACCGCATTTTTTTCACGGCGAATTATCGTGCAAGCAGTATATAGCACATATCGCCATGTGACATAAATGACTGTGCATTATATTCGGTTTTCCCTTTACTTCACAACACAAACCTTTGAAAGCACTTTTACCAGACCTGAAAACTTCTTGAAGCGACCAGAAAACCCGGTAAAACAGCGGCGATCTCTGCGAGTTGTTTCTTCGTCGGTTAGGCTCAGCGAAATCACCGCCGCGAGAATTAGGATATTGTAAAAGCACTGGGAATACTTCACACCGTTCATGTTTCGGTCACAAACAAATGCCGTCCAGTCCGTTGTAATCATCACACCGTCGAATGCACACGCACATTCTAGATGTTTTGATTTTTTTTTTTACATTTTGATTTGTGTATTGTTTGTGTTTGTATAAAAGTTACTCCCCTACAATAATGCCCCCAAGGTGAAATGTAGGTAAAAAATAAATAAATAAATAAATAAACTCTATTGTGTCAACAGTAACACAAAGTAATCAAGAGTGATCGTAAAATTCGCCTGGAAATAAATCATTTGGGTGTACAAAAAACGTCAAAGTAATAAAAAGAAGCGCTTATGTTAATTAAACTTATATTATATAAAATGGGTCGCTAGTAACCCAAAGTAGTCAAAGTGTCAGTGCTGGTGATATAACCTCAGTTGTGTAACTAATAAATCAGTTAACCCTTTAAGGACGTATGTCGCGAATTCGCGACATACCACTTAGTCCGCTGTATAGAATATTTCCGTCAACTATGAGCCCCGCGCCGACTGTCGCGAAATCGCGACGTACGTACCGAAGCGCCACGGTATGCTTGCGCCATCTGTTGGCGGCCCGGTGTACTTTGCGCCGTAAACAACTTTTGCCCGTGGACAAGATTTCAGAGCACGTGGTTTTCGAATTCCCAGCTGTCCTTCTAGCGTAATCGAGAGGTAAGTTTTCGTTTTAAAATTGTTTCTAGCTTAAATGTGGTCCCAACTAACTGTACAAAGCACACATCCTTTTAATACTGAGGTCTTTCAGAAAATAAGATGTTCTGTTCGCTTTGTCGCGAATTCGCGACACTCTGCATTGAGTGATTTGCAAGTCGCAGTTTGGCTAATCTAAAACAAAAAAATATTTCTGGCTTACCACTTAGTTTCAATGAGCCATACTTTATATATTGTAGGTCATGGAAGCTCGCTTCTTCTATGGGAAGAAGAAAATTCCGTGTAGGACGCGTTTACCACCCGAAGACGGAAGCGACGACAGCTGCCTAAGTGACACTGACAATGAGGATGCGGACTACAACCCTCTCCAACAGTTCAACGCACCCCCCGATAATGACACAAGCGAAGAAAGTGAAGAAGAAGAAGAAGAATCGGTGCCAGCTTCCTCGAAAGGAGTGAATCGGCCAGTGCACTGGTCAAAAACATCTTCATCTCTGAGTAATGACGTTCCTCAGTGGAAAGGCGCAGCGCATGAGAGCGAGGCCGTCAGGTCCCCAATCGAGAACTTCCAGGGATTCTTCGACGACAACGTGTTCAATCTAATTGTGCAGCAGAGCAATATTTATGCAGTACAGCAAAACCCGAATAAGCCTCTAGCCTTGTCCCGGGTGGAACTTGAGCAGTTTCTAGGCTGCACTGTCTACATGTCAATCTTCCAGCTACCATAATCTCGTTTGTACTGGTCAGCTGAGTGCAGACTACCAGTTGTGGCCGATATTATGACGCGCGACAGGTGGGAGGAGATGAAATCCTCGCTACACTTCAACGACAACCTCAGCATGCCACCAGCCGACAGCTCCCCGAAGGATAGACTGTTCAAGATTCGCCCCCTTCTCGAGATGCTCCTCCCGAAATTCGAGGAGATTCCTCAGGAACAATGCCTCTGTGTGGACGAACAGATGGTTCCCTTCAAAGGGCACTGCAGCATCAAGCAATACCTCCCCAAGAAGCCTCGCAAGTGGGGTTACAAAATATTCATGCTTTGTGACTCCAGGGGTGTTGTACATTCTTTTGACGTGTACACTGGCCACATCGATCAAGTGCCGGGTTTTCCTGAGATCGGGGCAAGTGGTAACATCGTCATAAAACTGGCTCAGTGCGTGCAGCCTCAACTGGGCCACCTTCTGTACTTTGACAATTGGTTCACGTCTCTGAAGCTTCTCGTGACTTTGGCACAAAGAGGCACATATGCCCTTGGTACTGTGCGTGCAAATCGACTGCAGGGTTGCAAAATGGCCTCGGACACAGAACTCCGCAAGAGAGGACGAGGAAGTGCAGAAGAGTACGAGGCAGTGGTGGATAACCAGAAGGTGATCGTTGTCAAGTGGTACGACAACCGATCGGTGACCACCGCAAGTACCTTTGCCGGTGCACAACCCGTCTCCACTGTCATGAGGTGGGATAGCCGTGAAAAGAAGTCTGTCCAGGTTGAGTGTCCTAGCGCAGTTGTTACGTACAACAAGTGCATGGGAGGTGTTGATCTCCTTGATGCACTGATAGAATACTATCGGATCCAGTTGAGGTCAAAAAAATTTTACCTCAAGCTTTTTTTTTCACTTTTTGGACATGGTGATCGTTGTGATCTGGCTCCTCTACCGACGAGACTGTCAGTCACTCGGCGTTCCAAAGAATAAGCAGAGAGACCTGCTGAAATTCCGGCTTGGAATTGCGGAAGCCCTCTGCAAACAAGAAAAGGACCTCTCCTCAAAGAAGCAGGGACGACCGTCCGGCTCTCTTCAAGCTCAACTCGAAATGAAGAAGCGACGAGGACCCACGAGCCACATCCCCAACGAGGACGTCCGCACGGACAGCACAGGACATTGGCCGGTTGTCAAAGACACGAGACAGCGGTGCAAGAAACCTGGTTGCAAGGGACATACCAACGAAATGTGCAGCAAATGCAACGCGCATCTTTGCCTCAACAAGAACACCAACTGCTTCTTTGATATCCATCAGCCATAAAGTAGAAGCCAGGTGCTTTCTGCGCTGCTTGTTTGTTATGGGAACGCAATAAGCAAAATATTGTTCCACTCCTTTCGAGACTTTTTGTTTACTACGCTAATATTATTGGTGAAAAAAATAAATTTTATTCAGATGGCGTTGTGAAATTATTGACTTCGTGGCCTGTTGTCGCGAATTCGCGACATACCTCTTTTAGCCAAATAGGGTACCCATCACAACTCACAATGTTTGTATCTTTTTAAAAGCACCTTAAGCACCACATTCCCGCAAAAACATCTTTTTTAGTCGACTGAAAAATAAATTGTGTGTTGTTTATAGGTTAAAATAATTTAAACCTCAAGGCCATAATGAAACAAAACTCAATATCAGCGGTGACAATTTCAGCGTCAAATATCTGAAAAGTAATAATAAATTCCTATTGTGCTTATGTCTCCTTAGCTCTATCAAAAATAAGTCAAAGAAATAATAGAATGCAAAAGCGTTCATTTCGATTTAATGATGTCGAGTGTGCAAGAATAACTCAAGCTTACAACGACATAATCATGTTGAATAAACCTGAGACTGGAGCAGAAATGAACACATGAGTGGAAGGAACATAAAAGGACTGGACGACGTCTACAATTGAGACGTCGTTTTGTCCTTTTTTGTTCCTTCAACTTATGTGTTCGTTTCTGCCCCAGTCCCAGGTTTATTCAACGTGGTTAACATTCACCAGCTTGCCCACACTCTTATACTTTATCTCTTAAAAAGTGCAATAAGCATATCAGTTGAGTCTCGTTAGCCATGCGGCTACTAACTTCAAGTACTCGACATATTGCTCAGAGTATCACTTGTCCCTAACAAAATTTAATTCGATAGAGTTAAACAAAAACCCCAAGTTATCAGAGGTGTAAGCGAAACATGATCACTGAAAACAAATAAGTGCATGTGTATGTTGCGGATTGAAGGGATGCTGAACAGAAATTTCGAGCTCACAAACCAGGGGTGGGGCGATAGGCGGGGCTTCGCAGAACGGAAAAACACCACACATACAGCGATGTCTCTAGCGAATGGCCGTGTCTTTTATTGGAGAAATGTGCCATTGAACACGGCCGAAGAGGCCGACGAGAGATGTTACGTCACGATTTACATTCCTTATACACCTCGCTTCGTCCCGTCGAGCTGGTGAACCGAAGCGAGGAAAAGAGAATTGACGCCGCTTTCCCTTGTTCTCAACAGTTCCAGGAGGATATTGATGTCACAGTCCTCGCTTGGTCGTGCCTTCTTGTCCAAAAATACGGCCACCCGGAAAAAAAAAGTAGGACTAGTTGTTCCTAACTTCTCGCGACTGCAAAATGCATAGTTATACACAATACCGAGAGTTTCAGACGAATTTACTTTTGCAGAGCAAAACGTAAAAATGGTTTGTGAAAGGGCGACGTCTAATAAACACTACGCTCATTCCAAGAAAGCAAAACGTTTCGGCCAAGAGGCGCCGGGATGCTAGAAAGCAGAAAGGCACTAAATAGGGGCCTATACACGAATGTAGATGTTTAAATAATGAACGAAAACTCACCTTGTCTGGTCGTCCATCTCCGTGCTCGGTCTATCCTCATCCTTGTCAGGGTTTCTCATTGTCTGCGAAAATTCCGACGTCGACAGTTTTATTTCTTTTCTAACTAGAGGACCCGCGAACGTATTTTCAACATGAGGTCTCAAAGGCTGGTACGTGCTTTGAAATGTCAAGCATATTACATACAAAAAATTGCGACTTCCGAACTTTTAATTTTGACCGAACGTTCGACAACTTTCACTTTCATCAATATAAAGTTACAAATCCGACTCGTGTGGGAATTTCGAACGTACTAAGTTCAAAATTCCAAACCAATTTGAAGTTCTGAAGAAAAAAAAAAAAAGATGTACCATATTGGAACCAGGTTTACTTCCAAAGGTTTAAAGCAACATATACAAAATATCAATGCAATTTGTGGAGTGGAGTGAAAACGGCACTAAAGTTTTACTTAGCCGATCGTGCCATTAAAGAATCGTTTCCCGAATTTAACCTGTGAAATCATCATGTATTTTTTTGTGTGCAATTTTTTTTCCCGTTTTTAACCTTTTAACTCATCGTGAACCAACTAGCTCAAACCTGTTTATTAATTTTGTTCCAAAAATTGAAGCGATCCCTTTGAGATGTCCTTGGCCTCGTGCCTCATACCTGTTTCATCCGACTTACTCGCGGAGCATCTCCCTACAGAACTCCGTAGATTTCCTCTAGAAAACCGACAGTCCGGAGGGTCCCCGGTCTGCATACTTGACATTCAACCGATGCGCTTTCTTGGGACGTTCGTCATAACCCGTTCTGGGTAAAGTACCGCTTGAATGTACTTGAAGTAAATTACACAGTAAATTATAGGTTATTTTCCTCCAGTAAGGTAGTGAGGACAGCGGCCGCAATGTACCTTTAGAAAAGTCTTATAAATACAGTGTACTTTCAAAGTAAAGTACCGGAACTTAAAAAAGAAAAAAACATTCCGTAACACCTTTTCGTTCCAATGTACAGATTTTTTTTCCTTTCTAAACTAGGATGCAATGCCCCTGGGTGTAATTGGGGGTGCATGAGTTATTTTCTAAAATGACGGCGCATATTGGATATTGTCAAGTGGTCAGAGTGTAGTTACTTTACTGCTGCTGGCAAAATATTAAACAATCAACTTATAAATCGCTTCTCTTGCATCGGTCTTATAGCCGCCGTCAGTTCACTCACTTATCTTTAGATTCGATGCTGCATCGTGCTGAAAGCTTTGCCACCATTTGCCAGGTGGATAGAGCTTGCATATAAAATAGAACTTCTTACTATCATAACGTGCAATTTCAACCATTTCTTCATCAACATTGCCCGGCAATTTCGTTGCTCGTAAAAAAGACATTGCGCGCACTGCACTCCACAGCGCAAGTTTCGTGAACACTGTGAGTCTTCCCCATCATCCCCTTTTCCCTCTGACTGCTGAATTTGGTGCTGCTTGCACTGGCTTGCACACAAGGGCGATAATTGCACGAGGACGGAGCATGACGATAGTCCTGTATCTTCCGCAAGTAACCCTCTTGTGAATTAGTGCCCTCTGTTAATGTTGTTAAGGTCCTTTCCCGCGCTCACCAAGCAGCAAGTAGCCAGAGTTCAAAATGCTGCGGGTAAGCCCCCCACCCCCTTACAAACTGCAATTAGCGTCGTCTACTTGCATTTCTCATGAGTGTGAAGTCTCAGTAATACTTCAGACTGGGCAAAGCCCCCCCCCCCCTTTGTTATAAAAATTTAACAAGATCAGGATAGTGGAATGAACCTTTAAGTCGGAAATTGTACTTTTCGTGGAACGTATCAGAAAAAAATACTTGATGTAAAGTACAAGTATACAGTAAGATGACGTAGTTCAAGTAAAGTACACATTTTTAGGCCAACTTGAGGTGGCACTTTAATTACAATGTATCTAAAGTGCTTCCATACACTAGTCACAACGTAGCTTAGTTGTCTGCGAACGTAAGTCCCTTGATTCCCTCGAGTAAGCCACAAATTGAAGAAAGGCGCGCGCGGAGCGCGACGCCGACGCGCTAGGCCGAGCGCTGAATTGGAACTTATTTCATTATCACTAAGACCGGCTGCATTTTAGTGCGACAAATATCTTCATTAAATGAAGAATAAAAGTTCTATACACCGGCGATACAGAAAGCCCGATGTCTTCCGGCCGTAACCTCATTCGCCGTACTTTCGGGGGTCGGTGAGCCTCATCATTCAGTTTGGTTAAGTACTCCTCAACCTTTGGCTGTGTCGGGTGCTGTGCCTGCGTCCAGTGTTTCCTCTATCCAACGAGTCATTTTATTAAAAATGAACGCCCATATAAACTAAGAACATTCGGGAGCGTCGACGCTTTTATATGCATCCCTTGACTTGTACATTTTGTTATCTCCTGCCAGCATCGCATTTCAGGGACGTAAGATCGGACTGCTACGAATTTGCAAAGATATAGAAAGTACGTTTAGGGCTATTCGATGAACTGTTCAACCAGTTCCAAGCGTGTTTTATAAGTTACGATAAACAACGTGTATCACAGGTAGCGTCATAAGTCCCGGAGTACTTAGAAGAAATAATTAATTCTGGCAAAAATAAATGCGCACTCTCTTCAGTAAAGTGCCTAGCACATTTTCCGACTTTTTATAGTTGAATCCTTGCCAGTGATATTCATACTTACAACATCAATTAGGAACTTTTTGTACGTTTTGAACTTGTACCTCGAAAAAAATTTAAATCTTCTATTTTTCGAACACGTACATGCTTCAATGAAATAATAATAATAAAAAAAAATCGTTGAAATATTGCGAACTTGGGTTGTCGAGACATTTCAAGCCTTCTAAATCTGCGATATTATTTAACTTTGAGAAACGTCGCCATTTCGTCACTTTTTTTTATAATTCGAACCTCAGCGGGGTTCGAAATATGCGAACTTTTCAAATTCGCACCTTCAAGAGATTTGAAAAGTTTGAAACGTTAAACGTCAAACTTCGGAAGGTTCGCGGAGTTTAAATTTCTAGACGTAAAACAGAAATACTCGAAACTTCTACTTTAGCTTTAAGAAAACCATGAAATACATTTTGGGCTCAGAGAACTTGGGATTTTAATATTCGCGTAGCATGTAGCCCGCCAAAATAAATATATAGTACACGAGGGTAGAAAGCCAATTGCATGATTTTGGTATGAAAGATTGACAATAAAGCGGCGTATTTTTTACCTCCTTTTTTGGCGCTCTCCACCTTTTCACAGTGATGCATCTGCTGTGCCCAAGCTCATCAGCTGAGCCGAGCTCCCTCACTGCACACGAGCACTACGTCACTTGGACGTACACGATCTTCAGATGTCAGTCCTTCCACAAATATTTAAATTCGCGTTGTTGGCCAATAAATGCCGTGGGGCAATATTTGTCATTACTTGACATTGACAAGTTATGGTGTGCGTTTACAAGGCACATTTT